CAGATGAAAGGGGAACTTTGCTGTTTGCCTTTCCTCTTGCTCAGAGCTCTGATTTACTCCAGCTGAATCACTGTTCCTTAACGATCTGCTTCCTAAACCTAAACAAGAAAAGCCTCCAGAGCCTCTGACAACGGCGCCCGACGGGTGCGAACACTCTGCAGACTCATGGCCTGTCATGTGAGCTGGGTCCCAGGGCCACATGTTCTTGGCTGTGAAAATGCAAACAAGTCAGAGCACCAGGGCAGACGCCAAGGTGTGACCTCGGACAAGACCCGGTGGCCACTGTGGTGCCCTGCTCTTTGCCCTGCCAGGACCCTCTACCCCAGAGGGGACAGAGAAGCTGCAGTAACCAAAGTTCAAACTCCCTTGGAAAACCCTCCAGCAACATAAAAGGAAAATCTCACAAACACATGTAGCTACTCAGAGAAGCTGAGGCACTTTTATATTCACTTCTCTGGTGTGGGGTGGTTTTGTGGCTTTTTATTTTAATCCCCCTTTTTTGGCCCACTTGACAGCATCTAACACATAGTTTTGCTTACTACATGTTTTCTAAAGGCCTCTAAAGGGTGTTGCTGATCCTCACAGTTGGGAATGGCACGACCAACCCCTTACTCCACCTGGCCTTCTCTGCTGTCTCCGACAGACCCAAAAGTGTCGCCCTGGCTTTCTGGCCCCTGAAGAGGCTCTTGTTTGCCCGGCAGACATGTGCACCTGACCTCACAAAGACTTCCTCCAGGTGTTGAGTAGCACTGGAAGATCGAGCACAGTTACCACCCAAGTAAATAAATACGGACTAGAAAACAATGGATTGACAACAGGACAGGACACTCTTGTTTACTTGCCAGGATGGGCCATGCATCCAATACTCTCTCCCCATCACCTCCCCCATTTCTGCCCAGCAGCTGGCGTACTGACAGGTGAGCAGGCCCCAGCCCGGGCAGATGCTCCCTGTGACCCAATCAGACACTTCAACGAAGTTCAGTTAGACAAGCGGTTATCTTGGGCGGATGATCCCCAAAGCGGGAGTCAGGCAATGTGGAATCACCCCCAGGAGACAGCACTGTCTCCCCAGGTCCAACGCCAGCAGCCGGCCAAAGTCACTGAAGACCTGGGCATTGTCTGAGCCCTGAGGACCCAATCTTTAGCAGGCACGATGGGGGGAGACACACCCCATAAGAGCTGAGCGGGCCAGGGCTTTCCAGTGGAGGGGGGAATCCCGATACCTTGCAGCCATGGTGTCTGTGGTGCATGGGCCTGGCACTATCCCAGGCCCCACCTGTTTGGAAAGTTTTTCTCCGGTCAACACCCCGTTAGTCCTTCTGATTGCGTCAGGGATAAAGGTCAGGCTGGTGCCAGGATGTAGTTCATGCTTCCCGAGCACCCCCCAACTTCCCCTTCGAGCACACGGGAAGAGTGGCCACTTCTTCAGAGACTCTGGCAAACAATAAATCCAGTTAGAAGTCAATGATTTTGTTTTGTCTTCAGTGTATTTATTTTCGCAGTTACCTTCTATCTTGGCATGCAGTAACCAGCTTTCTGCTTACTGGAGGGCACACAGTTTCTGTTTTACGTAATTGTATTGGACACAGAAAGTCAGCTGATTTAAAGAGAAAACAAGATACTGCAGAATGTGGGTGTTTAAGACCAAAGCAACAGCAAAAACCACACAGATGGCACATGGCTTTATACAGAAATGACAAAGTGCCAGAGATGCTGCTGGGAAGGGCAGGAGAGCCAAGGCAGGGACTTGTGAGCGCCATGATCCAGAAGAAAAGCGGTCAGTCTACCTTGACAAGAGCCCTTGACAAGGGCACAAGTGATACAGAAATGAGGCTGGAAATGTAAACTGAGGCCAAGCTGGGACGAGCCTTGCGGCTGAGGGTGGTCTGTCCCGGTGACGGTGGAGGTCCACGAGAGGGCTCCAGCCCACTCCATTTGCAGAGTGCCCACCCCTAAAGCTGGGCAGCTTTGGAGGAGGAGGAGCTATTATGTGAAGAGTGGCCTCAGGTGGGAGGCCTTGGGACGGTACCCTGGGAGGGTGGGCTTATCATGACCTGTACCGCCTGGAGGCCCCACCAAGCACAGGACAACACAGCCAGCCTGGGAGGCAGGTGTTAGCAAGCAGTGTCCTACGACAGATACTTATCACCATATATGGAATGAAAACTTCTAGGGAAGAGGAAGATAAAAAAGATTGGAGTAGGCTTAAGAAGAAAAGAACAACATACCTAAAGACAGCCTAAACAAGGCAGCCCCAGCCCCTGGTGCCTGCCTCACTGTCTGCTAGCCATGTGGCGTGCCACACGCCGGAAGCTTTCATTTACCTTTGTCACCGTCTACGAAGCCAAGAGCCATCCCTGGGGAGAAGGCTCCCCAGGCAGCGGAGGCCCGCCTGCTCTCACACCCAGCCTTGGCCTCTGACCCCTAGCCCCACAGTCCCCCAGACCCTCAGGCCCCTGCCCGCTTTCCCCCAGGCTGCTGGCCCCCTACCCTGAGGTCCCCAGCCCCCAGCGCCCATGGCCCCGAGGCCCTCAGCCCTGCTCCACGCCACCACCTGCTGCCACTTCCTCCCCAAGCCTTGCTGCCTGCCTGGCCACACAAGAGTCATGGCCTCCACAGCTGTTTTCCCACAACCGAGGAAACCACAGGCCAGGCCTGCCGCCTCCCAGCCAGCTGGGCCACACTGCAACAGCCAGCTGGCTCACCAGTGTTTGTGCCTGCTGGCTCACACTCTGCCACTCGCCAGGTCCTTTGCTGCAGCCCAGAAAGTAATTGATAAAGACTTCCCTGGTGGCTGTAAATTATCAGCTGCCTTGAGTGCCACTTAATAGGGATGCTTCAGATTGAACCACAAAGACCCCAGAGGCATGTGCCTTCCTGACACGTCACACCATGTCCTCGTGAGAGAAAATGGCCAAGCAATAACCATATCCGAATTTCTCTGGTCCAGTCCACTGCAAAGGCCGGCTCTCTTGCTCTTCCCTAAAATGACCAAATCATAAAGGTCTGTGCTTGCTCTGTGCTCCTGAGCTCTTCCCTTGGCCTCCAACTCCTGTGACCACCTCCTCAGTCTCTCCTTGTCAGCCGTGCTGGGGCTGGGTGGGGAATGCCACTCGTGGGATGGAAGGGGATCAGCTAGGCTGAACTTCCCAGATTGCCAGTTAAATTTGATTTCAGATAAACAGCAAATAGTTTTTGGTAGTATATCCATGCACTATTTGGGACATACTTCCACTAAAAACATTGGTTGTCTGAAATAAAGGTTTAACTAGGAATCCTGTATTTTTCATTGGTAAATCTGGCAACCCTGAATGTGGAGAAGTAGCAGGACCCACAGCCGTGGGCAGCCCCACTCCTCTCCACGGGTACCCCCAGAGGCCACCACAGACAGGGCCCTGTCTCTGGCCTATAACTCACCATACTGACCCTGAGTGCACTTCTCAAAGGCCTGCAGGTTCTGGGGGCCCCATCTTGAGGCCAGGACCCCTGGTAGCTACACAGGAAGGGCAGCCTCTCAGCCAAAGGAAGAGGTCTCCAAGGGCCCTGAAGGAAACCCCCCGCGGGGAAGCCCAAGGGGAGAGGCCCTCCCTGAGAGGCATGGAGGCACTGAGCAGGCACCCACAGGACCAGCAGGGTTGGGACATGAGCTTGTCCTGGGCAGCCCCACACCCCCACCAAACAATGTAACCTAAGGCCTGCAGGGGTGGGTGGCTGGCTAGCTTAAAAGGAGCATGAACTGCTTTATAAATGGCCTTCATCAAGGGCTTTGGGGCAGCTGTCTGGGCAGGCCCCAGCACGAGTCCTGGCAGGAGATATGGCCCAGCTGGCAAAAAAGCATCTCGAGGGCTTGGTGGACTTACAGGCTCCAGGCCAGGGCAATGCCATGGATATGTGGGGCATTTCTCTAGCACTAACAACTCAATACTAGAATGATACTTCATCTCTAATCTGTAGACTATTTTTGCTATTGTCCAGAAAGCCACTGGCTGATAACGTTTGAACTATGTAACGTTGCCATTTTTGTAAGTCAAGAATGTTAGAATATTGGCAATTACATGTGGCCCACCCACAGTGCTGCACACCTGCTGTGCGTTGGACTCCATGCGGGGTCCTTTAAGGATATTCACCATGTAATGTTTAATTCTTACAGCAACTTTTCAAGATAAGTATCACTGTAGCCATTTTACAGATACAGAAATTGAGGTGCAGGGAGGACAAAATATTCATCCAGCTGGACACACACTCCAAAACCCATGTTCCTATCATCTGCCAGGTGGCCTGGGTCATGTGGGTCCTTCCACCCGCTGTGCTCTGCCTCTGGGTCAGTGGGGGCCATGCCTATAGCACTGGGCTCCCCCTGGACTCCTATCCTGCCAGGGCCTGCCTGTGCAGCAGCCACTCTGCAGATAATCAAAGCCTGGCCACTGAATTAGCAGCAAAGTGTACTTAACAAACCATTTCAAGAGGAGAAAAACATTTGAAAGTCCATTTAGAGTGAGAGAGGATGAGGGTCAAAGAAAGGCACTCATAAAATAAACAGTCATCAAGGGAGGAAAATCAAGTGCAACCAGTTTAAATCGCCTTAACCATGACTGTAAACTAACATGGAGTGACCCACTGAGAAGGAATCAGGTGCAGGGCGATCCAGCCTCACAGCAGACCCAGAGGCAAGTGCTTCAGTGGCTCTCCTCCAAAGAAACCTGCTGAGCCCCATCGAGAGGTGAGGATGAGGAATCCCCAAAAGGAACAAGTCAAGGCCAGGGAGTGTCACTGGTGTCCTGGCCAACCACAAACCCCCTGAGGGGCTGAGACCAGCACAGCAAGATAAATAAAGGGGCTGCCAGACTCCAACTTTGAAAGAAGAAAAATGAATGTTCTTCAACTTCTGAAACATAATTTTGGAAGTCAGAGCATACATCCTGCACAATAAAAGTAGTTTCCATTAGTTCCAAATGAACATCTGTGGAGATCAAAGTTTGAGGATAAAAAAGGAGACTGACCTTCACATGGGCCACATAGTGATGACACGTCTCTTCCATGTGGACCAGCTGCAGCTTCTCTGTGACCTGACCTGTGGACTCTCCCAGCAACACAAAGTAGACCCTGGGCAACTGGCCCTTCTCCTTTTTGCCCACATCAGCTGTCATGATATAATTCAGGCCTGCCAATAAATAAGGTCAAAGCGTGAGTGAGGACAGACATGCAGTGACAAGGCCACCTCCCACCCCTCCCACAGTCACAAGCACATTGCACACAATGCCTAGCCCTCCACTGCACAGGGAACTGCAGGCCTGAGTCAACACCTTCTCGGAGAGAAGCCTGTGGCCAGGGCACTCCAGCTGAGAGAAAACCAAGACTGCTCTCTGCCTCCTTGTGCTGCTGTGTGTGTCACACTTCATGGCTCTCCCTGACTTAAACAGCGTGAGTTATCAACTGAGCCACCAACATACACATCAACAGTCAGCTGTACCCAACACAGCATCCTGAAAAGCAGATGCCATGGTGAGCCTACAGAATATTCCTAGAAGCTGCTGAAATTACCAGGCTGCCTGTGGTACTGACTCCATAAAACAATGGGACATAAGCCCAACACAAAGGAACAATCACCCACTAAACCTGACACATCTCACAGATGTTGAGCGGTGCTCTGTAACCATTATGTGTACTGGCCATGTGCCATTCTTGGCCCACCAAGCACCACTTAGCTCCAGGCACTGCTGCAGGCCCAGGGGGATATATCTATAAACAACACAGGCAAAAGCCCGTCCTCATGGAAATGCAGACCAAGGCTGAGGCTGACTCTATTCCCAGGTGACCTAGTGTGTTGATCACACATTTTATGGTGCCGAGTGTTTCAACAAAACCATGACCACTGCAGGGCCTGTGCTGAGGTGCACTCCTGAGAAGGGAAACTTATCACCTACACCTGAATGTGAAATGCCAGGAGGCAGAACCTCCTGGACACAAGCCGGGACTAACAGAACGCACATTCAATAAACCCAAAAGGTTCCACCTCCATGACTGCTGAGTCGGTTAGTAAAATATATGACAAGGTGTTTTATTAAGTAAATAGGGCTCTCCATTAATAGGCCCACTCCCTGCTTTTCTGGGCCACAGAACCCTGTTTCCAAGGTCAGCTCCTCTATCAAACCTTTTGTTTTTTAACTGCTTTGTGGACTCGGGAAAATACATAATTTTTTTAAGTGAGACAAAAAGAAACTTGTCCCTAAAATGACCATAAGAGACTGCTGAGCACTGGGACAGACAACCTAGCCCTGCCTGGCTCCTTTTAGCCCCTTAGAAGCCGAGGCTCCTACACCAGTAAAAACAGCTCACACCTGCCCTGCATACCCGTGAAGCAGGGCAGCAGGGACAGCTCTGGCATTCGCATCAAAGGGATCAGCCACCAGGGGAGGTAAGAACGAGGAGAGGGAGGCGACCTGGACAGGCATTCTGCAGCTGCCCCAGAACATATTTTTGATGCATTTGATGGTTTTCCTGGGCCTCTGCCATGCCAAGCTGGTGGATTGCTGGTCAGGAAGGGTGAGTCTGCCCCAGCTTGTTTATTTTGGCAAACAGACAATTTCCAAGGCAAGGCTGGGTCACCACAAGGGACCTGAGACCCAGAAAATCCCAGGCAATAACAGTAAGAAGAAAAAGAATGCCTGTGGGAAAATCTTCAACACGGGAATCTGTACAGGAATTACACACAACTCCCCCGGTGACAACAGCAGGAAATGGGGTCCATTCATAGAATGTTAGAGCTTAAGGACAATCCTATGGGCCATCTAGCTCCAAACCCTCATTTTTCAGATGAGAAACTGAGGCCTCAGAAGGGAACAAGACTGGCTCCAGAGAACCACCCACCGCAGAGCCAACTCTAGATCTCTGCTCATCTCCAATGTCAGGCCATTCCTATCACCCTGATTCTTGGTGCATTTTCTAAACAAAAATTTCCAACAAAAGACTCATTTTTTGAACACACCAACAGAACCAAACAAGTGCCCAGTTCTAGAACTGAACTCAGGCCAATTTACTTTCTACTGATCACAATTTCCCTGAGCCACAGCCAAACAGTAAGAAAGGGTAAGTTATAAATGAAGTCAGTTTCCAAGTTCCATTTAGCAAGATGAGGGCTAGTGATGGTGGACACTGCTGGGAGACGAGGCAGAAGGGTTTGGTCGGATAAGCCAATGCTGTGACAGTAGCTGCTGAGCTAGCCTCTCCAGCAGCCCCCTACCTGGCCTTCCTCCCAGGTGACAGAGATACACCTGCCCTCCCATGGGCAGGCAATCACAGAGGACAGAGGGTTTGAATCTTGCCAGTAATGAGCTGACCTCAGAGAAAGCCTGGGTGGAAATGAACACAGGAAAGCAGAGCACATTGTATCAGTGCCACACCTGTGTCATCTTGGCTTTTACCTATTCTTTGCTATCCAGCCCAACTTGCAAGTGCCAGCAGCTGCATCCCCTTTCCCAAGGGCTTTCTCTGGTGGCTCTGCCCAGGCATGGCAGGCCAGAAGTTCCACAAAACTAAAGTCCCCAGAGCAGCCCTCGGTACTGCATGACCCCAGCTCCTACATCCCTCAGGTGGGGTGACTCTGAGGTGTGTTCCACACTGATTCCCAGGCTTCCACAGCGAGGTTCAGCTCCTGCTGCCCGCAATGGTAACTTGCTTACTTATACATACACCTTCTGTTGGTCTTGCTGTAATGGTTTATTTTATGCCTCAACTTGGTTAGGCCATAGCACCCAGAGAATTGGTCAAGTGACAATTTGGATGTCACTGCTATGGTACTTTTTAGATGAGATTAATGTTTAATTCAGTAGCCTTTGAATAAAGCAGGTAATGCTCCATAATGTGGGTGGGCCTCACCTAATCAGTTGAATGCCTAAAGAGGAAAAAAACTGAAGTCTCCTCTAAACAGAAGAAATTCTACTTCCAGAATGCCTGCAAGCTGCATTATCAATATACACATCCTACTGGTTCTGTTTCTCTGGAGAACCTGGCCCAAGAAGCTGCTTCCCTTCCTGCTCACTGTCCCACTTTCTTACTGATGTTTCCTGGGACAACGTGCTGAATCAATCATGTGCACTCAAATCCTGCCGTCAGGCTCTGCTTCTAGGAGAACCTGAATTAAGATGAGGTAAGCCAGCAAGAGGGAATTCACTCAGCCTTCACCATGTGCCAAGCACTGTGCTGGGCACTTTAAAACCCCAACTTTGTCCTCCAAAGCCCCATCTCACTGTAGCATCGCTGACCCAGCATATCCCTATTGAACTCAAGGAGGGGAGAAACAGCGCAGAGTTACTGGAAACTGAGCTGAGGACCAGAACTGTATGGGCGCGAGGACCAGAAAGAGCATGGGCATGCCTACATGTTCACCTATCAGATTTTTCTGAAACATCAAAGTATGTAATCACAGACAGATGGAATCATCCAATTAGCCAAGTGCAGTCATTTTGGAAGCATTTCATCTTAGAATTGCCTACTTAGTGTTTCTCCTTAAAATGCATTTTGACATTTAAAATTACACAAAAAGGAGTCAGTTCTGTATCAAACTCTCTCAGAGGCTCATGATGGGAAACCCTGTCTGAGTGAGGAGCACCTGCAGCCACCCGGGCAGCAAGAAGTACAGAGCATTGTGAGGCCCTGAGCATGACTGGCAGTTTCAAGGCCACTCCCCGACTGTGTCTGACAGGGGGCCTTAGGAAGTGGAGGAGTTGCCCGGAGAGCATCCAGGCAGCTGGCTGGGGTCAGCGGCCCAGCCCAGGTGCCAGAAGTTCCACAAAACTAAAGTCCCCAGAGCAGCCCTCGGTACTGCATGACCCCAGCTCCTACATCCCTCAGGTGGGGTGACTCTGAGGTGTGTTCCACACTGATTCCCAGGCTTCCACAGCGAGGTTCAGCTCCTGCTGCCCGCAATGGTAACTTGCTTACTTATACATACACCTTCTGTTGGTCTTGCTGTAATGGTTTATTTTATGCCTCAACTTGGTTAGGCCATAGCACCCAGAGAATTGGTCAAGTGACAATTTGGATGTCACTGCTATGGTACTTTTTAGATGAGATTAATGTTTAATTCAGTAGCCTTTGAATAAAGCAGGTAATGCTCCATAATGTGGGTGGGCCTCACCTAATCAGTTGAATGCCTAAAGAGGAAAAAAACTGAAGTCTCCTCTAAACAGAAGAAATTCTACTTCCAGAATGCCTGCAAGCTGCATTATCAATATACACATCCTACTGGTTCTGTTTCTCTGGAGAACCTGGCCCAAGAAGCTGCTTCCCTTCCTGCTCACTGTCCCACTTTCTTACTGATGTTTCCTGGGACAACGTGCTGAATCAATCATGTGCACTCAAATCCTGCCGTCAGGCTCTGCTTCTAGGAGAACCTGAATTAAGATGAGGTAAGCCAGCAAGAGGGAATTCACTCAGCCTTCACCATGTGCCAAGCACTGTGCTGGGCACTTTAAAACCCCAACTTTGTCCTCCAAAGCCCCATCTCACTGTAGCATCGCTGACCCAGCATATCCCTATTGAACTCAAGGAGGGGAGAAACAGCGCAGAGTTACTGGAAACTGAGCTGAGGACCAGAACTGTATGGGCGCGAGGACCAGAAAGAGCATGGGCATGCCTACATGTTCACCTATCAGATTTTTCTGAAACATCAAAGTATGTAATCACAGACAGATGGAATCATCCAATTAGCCAAGTGCAGTCATTTTGGAAGCATTTCATCTTAGAATTGCCTACTTAGTGTTTCTCCTTAAAATGCATTTTGACATTTAAAATTACACAAAAAGGAGTCAGTTCTGTATCAAACTCTCTCAGAGGCTCATGATGGGAAACCCTGTCTGAGTGAGGAGCACCTGCAGCCACCCGGGCAGCAAGAAGTACAGAGCATTGTGAGGCCCTGAGCATGACTGGCAGTTTCAAGGCCACTCCCCGACTGTGTCTGACAGGGGGCCTTAGGAAGTGGAGGAGTTGCCCGGAGAGCATCCAGGCAGCTGGCTGGGGTCAGCGGCCCAGCCCAGGGGAGGGTGGATGCATGGGGCTGGCCCCATCCCGGGGAGGAGCTGGTTCTGATTAGGGACTGCTCCAACGGCTCAGTTCACAAATTTAGGTTTCCTCTGGCAGATTGTGTCCATGCCATGTCGAATGATGTCATGTTGATGGAAAAGCTGATCAGCCCCAAAGTAATGCTTCCAGCCTCCTCCTTTCCCTGCCCCCAGCTGGCTCCCAAGGGCCCCCCACACCAGCCTGGGCCAGGAGGGAGCCAGCTGTCTTGAATCAACTCGGCTCTAGCTGCTCCAAGCGAGGTTTGATTCATTCTCATTCTCCATCAGAAGATGATTTCAGCTGTGAAATTCTACTAATAAATCCTCTTTCCAGACTTACTCTGAGCTTCTCTTAGAGTTCCCCAGGAGAGGAGGGAAAAAGGATATTTCCACTTTACTAGCTTTCCTAAGCTTCCTTCCCCTCCCCCACCGAGTCTGAGATGGTACTTTATTAAACACAGTTCCCCCACTCCTCATGTAACAGGGAACTGCTTCATTATCCCTCCTCTGTGCTGCTCGAGACCAGGTGGAGTTCAGAGAATGCTGTGTGCAAATGCTTTCTGGAGTAGAAATGTACCCCTAACCCTAGAGGAAGAGTCTGGGGACACGCTAACTGGTTTTGATCCTACTTCTGCCACTAGCTTGGATGACCTTGGTGCTGTCTTTCAGCACCTGGGCTCAACTGCTTGTCTGGAGACAGGGCAGACACCCCTGCTCACTCACAGCTTTGCCAGGCTAAGACCCACGGAAACACGAGGGCACCAGATCACAGCACAAAACACAACCACGTGTGGCTCCCCACTTCCTGGTTTTCATTTAGCACATGGGGGAGATTCCAGAATGGCTGGCTCAATTTTCACCTCCAGAGACTGACAAGCACACTTAGGCTTCAGCCTGACCAGCAAGTAGGCACAGGCTCACGCATTGGCAAGGCATTCACCACCCTTGCTATGGCAGCCAGGCTGCCGCTCCCCAGGCCAAGATAAAGTGATTGATACAGAACTGTCAGAATTGGGCACTTTGCACCCCAGCACAGAGCACAGGGCCAGCCATACACAGCCTCAGACACCCCTGAGAGAGAGCAAGGGGGCCTCGGTTGTTTTGTCTTGATCATCTGCCTTCCTCTCCCGGAACACAAGCTCCATGAGGGCATGGACTCGCCTGGCTGGCCGCTCTGTGTCCAGGGCTGCACACACAGTCTGGCACTTTTAAGAACTTAATAACCACTAGTTGACTGAGTGGCCCATCAGGTCCTTCCATAACTCCACGTGCTGGGATACCTGCCATTCTGGGTAAGGAATCTGCTGTCCCTCAGCTGCATGCCCGCCCTGTTCTGCTCCGTGAGGCTGGGACTCTGCAAGCCTCTTTTCTGCTTTGCCAGAGGCTGACAAGACACAGAGCTCCGGTGGGGCCGGGGCCGGAGCCGGGCAGGTTGGGGTGGGGTTTGGGCTACAAGACTGCAGGAGGAAGAAGCGCTTGTTCCTTCCTGCCTGCTTCCTTTCCTATCAGCTTACCCAGCAAGTTTCCCACAGAAGTTAATTCCACTTACAGTCTCCCCTGCGTCCCAGAGCCAGTCTCCCTGCACACCCCCCTGATGCATAGCGCCAGTGAGTGGCCCATTCTCCGCAACTTGGGTCCAGGTCTGCAGGGCCCTTTCTCCACACTGACAGTTTCTGCTGACCCCAGGGAAATGGTGCAACCTCACGTGACCTTCCCTTTGTTTCCCTGGACCAGTGGTTCTCAAATCTAAGCCACTGGCAGGTTTCGGGCCCACACTCAGAACTTCTGATTCACAAAGGATTTGCATTTCTAACAAGGTCCCATTTCTGCTGTGGCTGGTGCAGGGAAACAACTCAAGACTCCCCAGTCCACACCCAGATGTCATGGCCACTTCCTTCCAAGTCTTCCTGACCTGCCTAATGGATTCCAGTATTAAATTCTGTTAAAATAACCAGCTGCTGTTTCCTGGCTGGACCCTGCCTGTCGTAGAGCCCCTACAGAGCCCCTCTAAGTCCCCACAGTATTGCCAGATGTCACAGCAGCCCTGTGGTGGCTTGGCTATTCAGCTGGCCCTGATACTCCTGAGACCAAGTGGAAGCTGTGGTTTCCCATTGCTAGAGCAGAAAATGAAGAACGAATGGAGTCCCTTCTCTGGGCATTTGCTACAGCCCCACCAGGTCCCAAGAGAGAGAAGCAACTGAAAACACAAGACCATAAGAGCAATTACCTACGGCGCCCACACCACCCCCAGAGAGGGCCTGGGGCAGAAGATACCACAGATGGGTGTCTCTGAAGGGACTACTCCAGCCAGCTGTTCAGAGGTGGCCAGCATGTGACTGTGGCCTCTTTACTGCAACCATGCTGACAAACATGGAAATGCAGGCATGGAGAGGTGCCCAGCAGGCCTGCCCAAGGCAGATACATGTTCACCAGGCATTCCGGGGCCAAAACCACCACCACAGCGGCCCTGCAGCTGCCAGCGCCAGGAATGAGCAAGGTCCCAACAAGCATCCCAGCCCATAGTCAGCTACCACTGCAGAGTGCTGGGCAATGACGCTGAGCCTGCGGCTGGGCCTGGAGGAGGGCAGAGGACGTCTGCGCCCCTCCGTCGCCTGGAGGACACGGCCCTCATCTCTCCGACCACAGAGCCACAGTGCTGTTACACCCCATGCTGAGCCTCTAGACTCCACCTCTTCCACTCCCCCTGCCACCCTCACTGGGCCCCAAGGTGACCTGAGAAGCTATCTTTCACCTACACCTGATTCTCAACAGTTTCACCACGGCTGCCCATTTTCTCCTCCACCAAACTCCCTCCATTCCACTGTCTGCACATTTGGGGCAGCTTTCTGGCTCACTGCCATGAATGCCAGCGGAAAAGACAGAAAAATGCCAGGATGGGTGATTTTCTGCACTGCCCTATTGATACCAAAATTCTCCAGTTATCACCCTGGTTAAGCCTGAACCTTTAAAAAGGGTGGGACAGCACCCCCTTAGACTGTAAAGGGACGTTTGATTTCATCAATGAACCATGTGGTGGGTGGAGGATAGGGGGCAGCCTGGACGGAGAGCATACTCTTCTCCATGTCCGCCCTAATGCAGACACTGGCCAGGCAGCTCCAAACATCACAGCCCTTCTTTCCAGTTGCACCGAACACTCCATAGGGGCCAGGCTCCTGTCCCTACATCTCCACGGGTCCCACAGGCCTATTTCACCCATGGCCCAGTGAGGTTTCAGCCTGGTCCATGTACATTTGGGGAAACAATGCTGGGGGCCAAATACTTGTTCTAGAGCTGGAGGCTGTGTTAGACTGCGGAACAGTGGTAAGCAGGAAATGAAGAGAAACAGGCTCAGAGGGGAGGATGTCTGGCCTGGGGCCGTGGCCCAAGAGGCAGCCAGGACGCAGAGCGATAGACGGCAAGACATCCCTCAGCTGCCCACCACCCACCAGCACTCCAGCCATAACACCCTCCTGAGCCCAGGCTCCACAGCTCATTACCAATTTCTCCCGGAACATGCTGGCCATGGAAGCTAAAGCAGGCGGTGACGTTCAGGCAGTTCACAGGCTGCTGTCCGTCATGACACTGGGGAGCTGTGATGTTGATGGAAGCTGGCAGGGAGATGGAGACGTCCACTGTGATGACGGGTCTTGCCCTGCAGGCCAGAGAAGGTGACTTGGTCATGCTGAGGAGCAACTCTTAGCACCAAACAGAAACTAAACCCACAGGACAAACCCGAGGCCCAGTATTTAATTAAGGTGTGTAATAACCTGGGGGCTAAGGGCCAGGGTGCCCTGTAAAGGCCTTTTCCTGGTTTTAGAAGTGGCTTATTTCCTAAAAAACTAACGGTTAGCTTCCCAGTAATAAAGGCAAGCTAGTTGTTAATAAAATACATCTGGTTGAAGCCATAAATGAACCACCAGATGTTGGGGGATTATTTAAAATTTCACTGATTAAATTCCAATTTCCATTTTATTAGGGCTGTATTAATACATTCAAGAGGACTTCCTACAGCAGGCACCATGACTCAAGAAGCAGACGCACAACCAGGGGTGTCCCCAAAGCATTTACTGCTCTTGTCAGCATGAACTGCAAAGTTCCAGTCCCACCCAGGGTGAACCCCCCCCATACCCCATTCTGTATTTTTCTAAAAGAGCTTGATTAATGGAGTCCCAGCTGGTAACAGCAAAGTGCTTCAAGTTGAAGGGATCCACCTTCAACTCAGGACCAAGTGAAACCCAGTAAACGTTCCCTCTATGATCACCACCTGCCCTGATGGACACCACGGCTGTCGTTCCGTGGGTCCCCAGCAGCCGGCAGAGGCTGGGGGTAAGCTGACAATCATGCCTCCCGTGGCAAACGTGCTCACAGGCAGCCCACCCAGGCTGTGGCTAAACCTTCTGACCCCGGGCCTCACAAAGAGAGCTTTACCTCTGAGGGGCCCTGGCCTTCACACCCTGGGGGGACAGAATAGGATCATGGGCATTGGTGCTCGGGAACAACGACCTCACTGTGTACGCCAATCCTGCAGAGAGCACCAGGGTGATGAGGCAGACAACCTGCTCCCAGGAGAAAGCATGAAGGAGAACCTCCGAGAAAAAGGAAGCGAGGAGATGGGCGGCCTCACAGGGTAAGGGGCTTTCAGCACCGCCACCACTACCACGGGACGTGGGTCAGGACAGGGACAGCTGTGACAGCACGAGGGAACTGTGTGGCTCCCAGAGCCAATCTGGCTGCAGGGCTAACAGGTCAGACAAGGGCGACCCTGAACGAAATCCAGCGTCCTAGTTTCTAGGTTGCTCTGGGACCGCCCTTAGAAGATGCTATAAATAACTTAGAAGATCAGCGGTGTGCCGCTGCTCAGTGTGACTGCGAGGACGCCCGTGGGCACTCCATGAAGCCCACCAGCCCTTCAGCAGGGGCTCAGGCCCCCTGCTCCTGGAAGCCTGCCCTATACCCCTGGCAGCTGGATGTCCTCCCTCTCTGCGGTCCCAGCACTGCAAGCACAACTCACCTCACCTATTGATTAAGGTCTATTTTCACACCCACCGCACCAGCCTGCAGCCCCCCAAGGGCTGGGACCTTGGCGAGTTCATCCTGATGTCCCCAGGATAGCAGGTGTTCACAGACCCTTGTTAAACAGGTGCCAAGGGGTGACAACCACTGGAGTGCCCAAAGTCCCACAGAGCAGAAGCACCAGGCCGAGCTGGTCCCCTGGAGCCCCCACCCTCCTGCCTGGTCATGGCACAGAGGCGAGGCCCGGCCCCTCCACACCTGGGCCACCTCACAGGAGGCTGCCTGGGTCTCCCGCTTATGGCAGAGCTTTGCAGAAAGTGGTGAGGTGGCCAGGAAACAAGTGGGCAGCCCAGCAAAAGGGCCTTGATGATGGCTGCCCACAAACCCTCCCAAATGAGAGATGGGGACCTTCACAGCACAGCCCCTCCGATGCCAGTCAGATCATTCCTGCAAATCGTTATATCTCAACTCCAGGTATTGTTTGGATGGGGAAAAGCCAGAAATCTTTCATAAACCTCTCTGATCACTTCCTCTGCATGTCCACAGCCTGGCCCAGTAGCCTATCATGCTCTCGCAGGACCCGCCCTCCTGAACTAACCTGAGGGAACAAACTGCCCCCACTCCCGGGGACAGGAAACTGCCTGATGCACCAGCTTCTAGAAGAAGAGCGGGGGGCATCCGAGGACAGCACCACCAAGCTTTGAAGACAGAAGCTGGCGGCTGGCATTCCTTCCGGTGGCTCTGACCATCCAAAACCCGGTGCGACAGACCCACCTTACCATGGCTCAACAGGTGTTTTTGACTTTACAATGGTGTGAGACTAGCATGCACCTGCTTTTTTTTAAGTTGCTCTTTTTCCAAGGCTAGCAAATAGCCGCTGCTCTTTTTCCAAGGCTAGCAAATAGGCATATGATCCTCTCAGAAGCTGGGCAGTAGAGGCGAGTGGCCAATCACCATGGTGACAACTGGGACACTGGCGGCGATGCTGTCCCCACACACCCATTCTGTGTTTCACTTTCAGTGCAGTATTCGAATTACATGACGTACTCCATGCTTTATTATAAAATAAACTTGTGGTAGATGATTTTGCCCAACTGTGGGCTAATGTAAGTGTTTTGAACACAGTTTAGGTGGGCTGGGCTGAGCTAGGATGCTTATAGCTGTATTAAATAAATTTTCGACTTGACAACCTTCCATTTATGATGAGTTTATCAGGATGTAACCCTCTGTAAGTTGAAGGAGAGCTGCATTTCACTCCTGGGTGAATAATGCACCCAGCAGGATGTCCTCTGGTGTGGTGCTGCTCCGATCCCGGACCTTCTGGAAGTCAGTGCTCCTTGCAGGGCAGAGACAGATGGGCAGACAACAAACAGCCTGCACCCCTGGTGAGGGTGCTCGGCTACTAACCCAGCTCCAAGCCATCTACTGCAGGGCGCTAATGTCTACAGTTTAAAACCACTCCCAGGAAGACTTTCTGTAAACTGCACCCCAAAGCATTCCTAACCCACACACCTCTGGACTCTCCCTAGGGCATTTAAAGAGTACGCATTTTTGTGCATGCACACCCATGGCCCTCGTCCCCTTTCGGATCCCCGCAAACCCTGAGGGAGCTCCAACTCTGCCCAACTTGCCGGTCTGCTAGGGCATGGCTGGGAAGCCCACTAGCTTCTCAATGGAGACTGCAGACCTTGTTCCCACTGTCAGCCACATTCAGCACCTTCTCACTGGATGCCACAGATGACCAAATGTCTGGCCCCGGACATACTGGGCCACCCTGAGTTCCCCATGCTCCTGGGAGAGCCCTGAGGTGGTCACACTCTGCTTCATCTCTTTCACACTCCAACCTGAACCTTGCCCTGAGCCCATTCCAATCTTGGAGCCTGGCTCTACGACAAGGCCCCCGAGCCCATGGACTACTCACCACATCCCACCGGCCCTCCCTCACGCCCCAGTCTCCAGCAGTCCTCCTCCTGCCAGGCCCCAGGGCAGGAAAGAGGTCAGGGCAAGGTTCCTGCGGACAAGGATGAAGTTGAAGGTGACCGTCTCTGGTACGTCTAGGAGAGTAAGGGACTCAGGGAGAGCAGGGAGGATCTCAGAGGTGTTCCTGGCCTCATGCTTGAACCACCTGCCAATCCCATTTGCTCCTTCATAGCCAACCTTCTAGAAACAAGTCAAAATTCACTGTTTTCTTGCTTGTTCTTCTCTGCCCCACCCATAGCCATCTCACTCCTGCCCCTCACTTCTCTGGACCTACCAGGGCCAAGGACACCACTGACCTCAGGCCTCACAGCAGGGCCTTCTCTGCTCAGCTTGGCCACATACCCTTGCTTGATCATCCTCAGGGCACTTAACACAATCTACAAGATCTCCTTTTTTAACAAATAAAACTTCCATGTCACTTGGTTTCCTCATCCATAAGATGGGAATAATCATATCTATGTCATGGAGTTGTTAAAAACACTGAGTTAACACATGTTCTATCAACAAACTCTAGTATGTTCAGTCAGTGAACACCACTCAGTAAGGGGAAAAACGGAACAACAGCATGGACGAATCCCAGACACATTAGATTGAGTGTAAGAAGCCAGAAACGAGAGTGCATACTGTAAAATTCCATTCCCACAAAATTCTACAACCACCAGCAGTGACCTATGGTGACGGAAACCAGGAGAGGGGGTGTAACTAGGAAGAAGGAGGGGACAATACCCACAGTGACAGGAATGTCCTTTATCTTGATGCAGCTGTAGCCCCACCGGTGTTTATGCTGGTGAAAGCTCATCAAGTTTTCTTAAACTGGCAGATCCTGCTGTGTGCAAATCACACCGCGATACAAAATGCAACACCAGAAAAGCCACTACACAAGTGCTCCCCAGGGGCAACGTGTGGCAGGTGCACGCGACACCAGTGGTGTGTTTGTCTGTATTAATGTCCTTCGAGGTTTCCCCAGGACCTGGCACATAGTTACTTCCTGACAGGTCAATTCACATTAACTGCGAAGTGAGGGAACGGATGATCATGAGCTCGTTGCCCTGCACACGCCTCTGGCGACTATCGTGGCCTTCTGACCACCTCGGCCAGGCCAGTGCCCACCAGGCCCTCTCCTAAAGCCTCTTCTCTCCATGAGCCTGCCTGGCTCTCTCCTCCGTGGACTTTGCCTTTGTCCCCATAAGATCTGACCTCATCACATCGGAGCTGACTGCCACCCAGGCTGGGGACCGGGTCTCCCATCCCCGTGTAACTGCCTCACTGCACGTACACCCACGTGTGGTCCACCGAGGGAGAAGGCTGACCCTTACCACCAAAGACAGCAAAGGGAAAGCCCCTCTGGGTTGACGCTCACAGCTGAAAGTTTACAAAACACAAGAATGATGATAAAGCAGAACCGACAGAATGTACACCAGATGCTCCCCATCTTAGTAGGGCCTGTTTTCAACACGAGAGCCAAGGACCATGTTTTGTTCTAGAGGAATCCTGACAAGCCCAAGCAAGCTGCCCAGGGCAGTGGGAAGACTGAAAATGACACCAGGAGGCACCTGGTGGAGCTCTGGTGACACAAGGCTAACCACAATCTGTATGCTCAAAATATTGTTTTACCTAAGACAGAAATTACCAGCACAGAGGAATGAGTGAGAGAGAAAATGGGAATAAAAAGGCCAGGTGGGCTTTGTCCATGAAGCCACTGTCTGGGGACCAACTGCCACCTTCAAATAATGAAGGGCTGCTGTGGGGAAGACATGGGTTCGAGAAGCAGGACTTCAGGGAGGCAATTCAACCTGATCTGTAGGAATTGCTAACATTTACTGAGCAGAGAAAGGCAGTGCTGAATGAGAAGAATCTCGGGTGTGGAACCACATGGCCTCTGGGATTTCTTCCAGCTCTGAGATCCCACTAGCCTAGTTTAGAAAGTCCTGCCATCAGGTTACTAACAAAGCCTGAGAGCTGGCTCCCACTCCAAAGTGTCATTCCGCCTCCTCTGACTCACACAGACAGAAATACTTGGAGGCGGCTCGCGGGTGGGATGGCAGCCCACACCCGGACTGCCTGGATTCCCTGGGCCTGGGCTCACATCTCTCTCCACTGCCACCACCAGGGAATGAAGTGCTGCCAACCAGGGGCGGGTGGGGGGGCTGCGGGTGCAGAGTGAGGAGGAGATGGACAGGCGCAACAGGACAGTGCTTCCCGGCCCGCGCAGTGTCAGGTCACCATAGGAAACGTGCATGCAGCACATTAATGGGAGGGGCTGTTAATGGAAAAAGGCAAAACCTCCTAGCGATTCGGCCATCCTAAACTCTGTGTAGAAGCCCCAGGGGTGCTATTATCTCACACCTGTAGGTTTTCGAGGCCCACCAGCTGACACTCTGGGACAGAGGACAATCAGAATGAGGAAATAAAGGTAGCATTCCCACTTACCAAGCACCTCCTGCCAGCAAGGAACTGGACAGAGGGAATTGCTGATGAATGGTGAACAACCCCCTGGGGACCCCATCACTAAATCCCATCCCTTTTCCATGAAGAGCATCCTCTAAGAAGCAAGAGGGAATCATCTCACCTTAAAAGGACCACACTGTCAGACATGAAGGCTCCAACAGTGACATCTGAAAAACGAAGTTTACAGCATATTCAGAAATAGACTGCAGCCCCGGCCCACCGCCCCTCTGCAAGGTGCTCCACAGCAATGGTGGCCCAGCCCTGAGATGGATTGGGGCCCCTAGCAGCCATACTCTGGGCTATGTCATGATTTTATAAGCCACTGTCCCATGTGGCAGTCAGTCTCCAGATGTGGCTGCTGAAGACCTTGAAATGTGGCTGGTCTGAACTGAGATGTGCTGGGAGTGTACGATACAGACTGACTTCAAAGACCCAGTACAAAAAAAGTTAACCATCTCATTAATAATTTTTATGTTATGTTGAAATGATGTATTGGACCAAATAAAGCATTATTAAAATTAATTGCATCTATTTCTTCTTATCTTTTTAATGGGATTTTTTTAGAATATTTTAAATTTTTACATTTTTTAGAATTCTTAGATCTTTTATAATTTTTTAAATTATATATGTGGCTCACACTATATATCTTTTGGACATGAGTGAATCAAAGAGAGATTCCAGGAATTAAATGACTCTTTGAAAAAGCTCTAGGTTCTGCAGAACATGCGACTCATCTCTGCTCCACCCCTCACTCTACATGACTTCAGTCTGTTTCTGTGTCCTCATCTGTAAAGTGGGGATAATTATCTCCAGTGTCTTTCAAAAGCTGATAACATTGCATAATATTTAAATCAGAAAAAAGTAAATATTTGTAAAGTACATTTTGAAGTTTAAATAGTTATTAAATGTGTTAAATCAGATATTCAAATCAGCAAATCCATGAAAGTACCTGGTAAACTACAAACCAAGACACAGGGGTTAGCTGGTAATGTTTATTCCTAAATAACTTTAACTTAGGAAGTGTTCACCCATCTGGTAGCTCTCTGCCTTTCTTCACCTCCAATAGAAACCCCGTAGCCCTGGGGTCCAATTAATTCTTCACAGAACCAAGCATCTGAATGCAACAGAGTCTGAATCCCTATGTCTATACTGTGATCCCTCCTTAAGGAAAGACAAACAGCAAAAATTTCTGCACTAGGATGCTTGTTAATTTTGTTGTTTTCCAATAGTCTTTTTGAAAGTATTGGGTATTTGAAAATAAAGAACCTGATGAATGTGTCATTTCTTCTGTGGAAAATGCAAGATAAATTCAGATCTGTCATGAGGTATGAACACATGCTGATGGAGAAGCAGCCTGATCCCTACTTACCACAATGTGGTCTCTGGTGAGTCCCATGTTCTCTGAGGCTCAGTATCTCTGTCTGCAAAGTGGGGGACATCCCCATCTCTACCTACCTACTGGGGTAACTATAAGATGCACATTGCAGGTGTGAGCATTTTGCATATAAAAGTGCTAAGTCGATATATGGTGTTATTTAGGGATGGCCACGAGTTGCCCCAAACAAAGGGAACAGCTTTCTCAAATTTCAGAAGTCCCAGAGAGGGTCTACTGGACAAAAAAGCTTCATGCCAGCCCTTTTCTATTCCCACTCCTCCTGGCTCTGTAAAGTTACAGGGGACGATCAAAATTCCTCTCTGTAAGAAGCTACCAAATTTGGTGCCCTTCTACAGGATTGGATTCGTTTTCACAGATCCTTCTGGGGCATTTTAAATGAAAAGAATAATTTTCTCAAGATAGCAAGACGACCTATAGTTTCAGGGAAATTTTTTCTGAATTCCATGATGACTTTGGAGTTACACAAATTCTATTCCATTTCAACACCTCACCCCCCATTTCCTCCCCTTCAAACAGCTAAAGAACCACGATCCCACCACCCAATCCATTTTACCTAACTGGGTTATCAACTTGGGATTCAGGTTTAAAAGTCTACACTTCATTCAGCCTCTGCAGGGCATTGATTAACCCTGAGGACCAGCCAGGTGGCCTTGAATATGGAGGTCTGTTTTGTTGGTTTTCTTTTTGCTCCAAGTCTTTCCATTTTCTTGTGCAGATTGGGAATGGGAAGGGTGTTGCCTGGCTCCTATCTGCCTCTCAAGAGTCAGAAGCTTCTGAATATGGTTAAACGTCAAAGAAAACATGGGGTTTCAATATCGATCATTTTTAATGTGGACAGTGCTTTTTTCCTTCTTTAGAAATACTTGCTGCCCCCAAAATCACTGGTTAAGTCCACCCTCTTTGTGCTTAATCCCTTCTGAATAGACGGTCATTTTAAAACCCCAAAATAAACTTCAGCCCTTTCACTTTAAAAACAAATACCAGGCAAAATATCCCATTCTGCTGCGTGAACTTTCCTTATCCTCAAACGGAAGTAACCACTGCTCACCAGACTGGAAATTATTTTACCTCATGGATTTATCTTCATTTATCTCATATGTCTTTAAAGAAAACAGCTTACCAGGATAGCCATTTCCATCCATATCAATGCCTCCAGATATCGACTGACCAAACATCCGGAGAACTGGACTTATCTTCCGCCCCGACAGTTTCTGAAACAGATAATAGGGAAATTGAGTCACCGGAAGGCAGCAGTAACAGAAAAGGACCCATGAATGTTGAAGCCCAGCTTCCCCACGACACTTGGTCTCAAAGTTGTTCAAATTAAAAAACATTGTCAGGGTCTTCAGCAGGTAAAGTCCACACAGTCCCTCATTATCACTTCCTTGGCCAAAATGTCAACATTTAAAATAGTTTCTAAGTTCAGTGCTAATGAAAAACCCACCCCTGACTAGCGTGTGGAGGTTCTGACATGCTGAATGAAGTTCGAAAAGGATGAAGTCTAACTTCCATGTCTAGTGGAGGCTCTGTCTTCTCTCACACAGGTACAGCTGGCTGAAACTCTAAGAGCCCCGTATTTTCCCTGTATCTAATGGGCTAAATGTGTGATGCTCCTCTTCTAGAAGGCACACATGGTCTTCCCTGCATGGGAAGGAAATCAGCATATCTAGAGGGAAGAGATGGCCATGTGGAAACCGCCTGTCAATCAAGCCAGTCAAAGATCAACAGGCTCCTGAGCACCCCAGACATGACGAAACAGTTCCACCTAGTAAATCTAAAACTCCATGGTCCTGAATCTTCTGTACACTGCAGGAAGCAAAAAAAAAAAATCAACAGAAGCTGCCCTCCTCCCTAAAAGCTCTCAGCCAACCAGGAGGAGTTCACAGCATATATCCGGGGGCATGCTAGCATCTGTTCTTTTATTCGTCACTAAGCTCAACACACGTTTTTTTACACACACTATAACCATTTGCTGCAGAGTCCACATCTGCCCTAGAGTGATGCTCGTGTGGCACAGTTCCTCACAAAGATGTTGAACTCCCTGTACTAGGAAAGACCCCTCTTCGGGGCTCTGACCTGCTGCTTCTTCCCTTGAACAACATGGTCCATACACTGGGGGCTCCCCTCCCCACAGAGAAATGCTCTGCTTTCCCGCCATGCAGCAAGACCCATGACAGACCCAGCTTTACAGGTGTCCAGGCCTTGCTTTGGACTCCCCCCCACATCCTTCCTCCTCCTGAGTCACCCATGTCACAAGTGTGCAGACGGGGAGTTTCCAAAGGATCTACAGATAGACACACCAGGGACATCCCACACCCCAGCAGCCCATCCATGCACATAAGTATCCACTGCCACCCTCAGCTGAGCTGTCCAGCAAGGAACATGCGGAGCACCACAGCAGAGGTCAGAACACAGTAGGAACACCGAGGAAATGCTTCTGGCTCGCAGGTGGAGCCCCACATTCTACATTGTTGTGTCTGAACCAACAGGCGTGCACATTTTCCAAAAGTCACATTTTGAGCCACAATCTTGGCTCTGAGGCTCAGCAATGCTGGCAGCAGCCTACCCAGGTTGCACTTCTAAGGGATGCTGCAGCTGAGACGGGGGGATGAGAGAAGGGGTGGTCTATTCGGGGATGGCAACGACAGGCTTTGGTTATCCCCCAGTCATCCACAGGCCATTACACCATAAAGCCAGGAAGATACATCTGCTTGGTGCTAATAACCCTAAATGAAAACCAGGAGCCTTGGAAAACCTCCACTTGACCAGGCTTATATGCAGTGTCCGTATATAAAGATCAGGAGGAGAAAGACCACAGGGGATGCCACAGCATGCCCAGGGGCTCCAAACTGAGAAGGGCACAGAAAGACCTTAAAATCAACACTTCCATGGTGAACTCGGGAAAGAGGAATGAGTTTAAGAATAATGTGCAAGAACTTGAGGCCCTGGTCTCACTTTATCCAGCAGAAATAATACCAACTGGGGCCAAAGAAAAGCAATTCCCTTGCCTGGAGTTGTTCCTGACTCCTTCCTCTAGCTCACCACACAATGCCCACTCTGTCCGGACATGGGCCCCAAAGAGTCAGTCAGTAAAGGAGTTTTTCCTTCTTAATCAGTGACCTTATCATATACACACTAGCAGCTCGGAAACATAGTCATGGTTGCTTTTTTTTTTTTTTAAAGAGCCCAAACCACTTCTCTTTGTCAAAGCTCATGAGCCGGCCTGTGTGCTGACAAAGGCGGGATGGGTCCAGCTGCTGACCCCTGCTTCCTCCTGAAGGCATCCATGCTGACCACAAAATGTAGACTTCAGCTCTCTGCAGGGATCCCGCCCAGCAACAAGACCAAACACTGGAGGGCTGCCGGGAGGGGAAGCGGGGGCTCTCCCAGGTTGCCTCTGTGTGATTAGCTTCCGAGGTCCAGGAACAAGCTTCCAGGAGGATGCGTGGAGAGTGACCCTGACGGCTGCTGAGCACAGGGCTCCCTGGATGACTTTTAGCTTGTCACATTGTTAGCAGGGTCCCCAGCCCTTTATGACACAGATGTGGCCCCCATACTGTGCCTGAAGCCCTCCTCCTCCTACCACACCAGCTGAATCGCTGAAGAGGGCTTATTTCCCCCATTATTCGTTTCTAATGAAAAAAGGATTGTCCCTGTAGATAAATGCCCCTTAGAGTATGTATGCCTCATAACAAAACAAGTTTCCGTATTCCTAAGTTTTCCAGCTGAGCTTCCCTGAGCATTCCTTCTTCCAATGGAGTTGAGGGTAGTGGTTACAATTAAAGGCTTGGGAGTCAGACTGGCAAAGTTTCCATTTCATATTTCCACTTGCTCACTGGTGACCTTAGCCAAGTTAAACAACCTCTCTAGGCTGCCTAGTAAAAGGTGGATCATAATAATACACATCTCTCATGGCTGGGACGAGGACTAAAAGCCAGAAGAGGGCGAAGTGCACATTAAGAAGTGGTCCCTCCCCTCACCAGCCCTGAGCCCTACCTGCCTCTTCTAGGAGCTGAGCTGTGCCGAGAGCCCGACACTCTACTGGCAACACAGCTCCCCCTCAACCAGCTAACGGGCAGGTGCTGCAAGAACAATCATGAAGGTACAAATTGAACTTACACTTATGTACGCTTCTTAAGATCAACTTCTAAAGTCTCCTTTCTTTAGAGACTTTAGTACATGGACAGGTTTTGATGCTTCACTATGATTTCATTTTACAGAACATATAAGAACACTCAGTGAGAAGTGTTCTTAGCATCAAGTGTTCCTTAGCAATCAATATATGGGGCAGCTTCTCTGTGATAAGAAACATGAGCATGAGTAGGAAGCAGAAAACACATAATAAATGCTCAGTCAATATCTGCCGATTGGAAATCCCTCCCATCGTGCTCAGCCCTTTTCTGTCCCTGATGCACTGGGAGAAAGACACAGGTCTGTGCCACCCTAGACACAGACACCACAAATATCCTGACAGTGCTTCTGTTGAGAGTGACTTCCTTTTTCCCCATGGGCTGGGCTTGACAACATCAGCAAGACTGAACACCAAGCTGATATGGCGAAAAACAGAACTCACCACTTCCACGTTCGCAAGCCCAGGGCACAAGGCCAGAGCTTCGATGGGCTCCTGATACAAAGCCAATCACAACAACAGCCCTGTGGTAGCTTTCCGGCCCCTCCTCTGTGGACCACTGTCTCCCTAGATTATATTGTACAGCACAGTCCTCTGGTGTTGCACAGATGTGTAACAAAGGAAAAATCAAAACACGAAAGTGGAAGCCTCTCCTCAAATAACACTTTTAACTCTGGGTGAGAATTTGGACATTAATCTTCTGCGGGCAAAACACATCCCAACTTGGGGGTCTACAGTATGTTTTGCATTTGGTAAGCAATATTGATGGTTCCTGTCTTTCACTGGATGGTGGGAAGGCTGAAGGCAGGAATGATGCTGTGTTTTCCTCTGAATTGAATGAATGTATGAACCAACAGTAACCAGGTCACTTCACACCAATTACCATTGAGTATTGAGGGACTATCCCCCCAGCGTCACCATGGTAGATATAGACCGCCCCCGAGAAGTCATCCTCCTTGGGTGCGCCGACGGCCACATCTGAGGGAGGGAAAACAGATGTGGGTTAGAACTGCCACATGGGGGGATAGAAGGGTGGTTTTCCTAATTCTTAATAGAAGGGTGGTTGCCATCTTGTCTGAGTCCCTCCAGACCAGAAATTTCTTGGTTGTTGATTGTTCAAGCATTAAACGGGGCACACACTCTTTAAGCAAAAAAAAAAAAAGGAAAAAGTAGAAAGAGTATCATGGAAGCTTAGCAGAGTTTAGTTCTAGAGAAGTTTTTCCTCATCCTCCCAGGAAAAATCACCGATCCATCTAGTAAACCACGGGCCGGGATGTCAGTCGGAGCGGAATTCCACAGATGGCGGTTAATGCATAAGCGAGAAAGCCGACCCTGTGCCTGGGAGCGAGGGATGGCACAACGAGGCGCTCACTGCACACAGAGGTCAGTGTCATTCTCACGACCTGACAACCCCAGGAACAAAGCCCAGACTTTCCTTCCTTTTCTCCCTGGGCTCCTAACAAAGGCAGTGCCTGCAGAAGTGAGGCCCAGGCTAAGGGTTGCGCGGGTTCCTGCACCAAGGCAGGCGCTGCCCCAGCCCGTCTGCCACCTCGGCCATCCTGGTGAGCGATGCAGCTCCCGTGGTCGTACCTGTCTACCACATGTACAGTAATGGAGGAGGTGCTCAGCAGACCAGTGCTGAAGGACACCACTGGGCAAATAGGGCCAGACACCAGGCGCACACAGCCCCACCCTCCTACACCTATACATCCAAAGGTCATCCAGCCACCATCGCTGTCAGCCAGGAGAACATCTAATTCTCTCCCCACTCAAGGCACTGCCAACACAGCACAGAATGTGAGGCATGGGAGGCTCAGAGGTAAGAAGGGGTGGTGGCTGGGGAAGCTGGTGCAAACTGCTCTGCTCCAGGAAGCCCCAGTGGATCCGTCCCAAGTTCACTCGCCCCAAAACACACAGCAAAGACCCCGGAGCTGAGGACAAGGTGCCCCACGGAAGTGTAGCTGCAGTGGGCTCCAAGCTCAGCCCTGACAGGCTGCACAGAAGACGTCTTCTCTACTGGTGTCCTCTCTCCCAGGGCACATCAAGGGGCCTTCCAGGTGGGCAGGGGTCCAGCTGCACATCGTGTGAGTACAGAGTGAGAAGGCAGGTACAGCTCACTGACCTGGGAACCCATCGTTGTCAAGGTCGCCCAGGCTGGCGATGCTCTCCCCAAAGTGGGCATTGTAGGCGCCATCCCCGGCCAAGGCCAGCTGCTCCTCGAGGGCTCCCTAGGAAACAGGATGGGGGAAAAAATGGAAAACAAAACAAAACCAGAACCCCCAAAACAATAAAGAAACACCAGAGATGGCAACGTCAGCGGAGCACACCCATCAGCGGGAAGCACCTGGGCAGGATCCCAGGCACCTGAGCTTCTCTCACCGGTGGCCAGCAAGTCCCTTCCAAATGTGGGCTGAGGGCCCCAACATCCTGGGATCCCTTTAGAGGGAAGGAGGCTCCTTGCTGGCTGATGTCTCCACTGCTCCCTCATCCTGGCACCATAACCAACCAACCTTCCTACCTCCCTGTCCCCACAGTACCTGCTCAGCCTCCTTACAGCAAATTTACCCCCAAAGTTGTTTTCAAAGGCCATACACGCTTCTACATTTTCTCTCCTGTGCCTTTTGACACAAGTTTATAAAACCAGTTTGCAAGGCACATGTATTAGTAACCTTGACCGAGTCATGGTTCAGAAAATTCAATACCCAATAGTTTTTGGCCTGGGGGTCTGAATGGTGGTACAACAGCTGTGCTCATTATCACATGGGCTCAGGTGCGGATTTCCAGAGCAAACAGTAACTACACAGGGAGAGGTCAGTGGTGTATGGTGGCCCTAAAGTCATCTGAGGATAATCACTCTGCCCCCAAATTACTGACATGGGAATATCAGAGCGTTAAACAGCAGTCTGATGGTTTGAGGCACAGAATGTCTAACACTACCCCAGTATAGGGGTATCCTCGCCCATCGTACACCCACAAGCCATCCCAGGGAGTGTCTGGCTTCAGTTATAAACTGAACCTTCTTTTTCACTATAAACACAAACAACTTGTAACTTGGAAACAATAAAGATGTGATGACTTCTTAAGTAGATGAAACCCCACCCACCCCACAACACAAATGTGCATTGATTTCTGCCTTTCAGTGTGGCAGGAGGAGTCACTGATTCCATGTGTGTGCCAGGCACCCTGCGTTCACCTCCTCCTGTAACCCCACGACAACCCACCAAGGAAGACCTCATGACTCTACCACTTTACAGATGAGGAAAGTGAGCCACTAGCTTTAAGCTATTGGCCCACATCACACAGGCCACTAAGTGGCAAAGCCAAGACTCAAACACTGGTCATTCTGACGCCCAAGCCCTCATGGTTTCCACTCCTCCACCCTGCCTTCCAACCACTCATCCAACAGGATGAAGTCAGCAGAAATAAGCACAGTGTGGCCCTCAGGGTAACACAGTCCTAAGAAGCGCTGGTTGGGGGCAGGGTTGGTGTGTGGGTGTAGTGTGCCCAGAGAAGGTCTGGGGGAATTATCCAGCTACAAGATTGCATGCCCTGATTTAGACATTAATAGAAGGGTGGTTGCCATCTTGTCTGAGTCCCTCCAGACCAGAAATTTCTTGGTTGTTGATTGTTCAAGCATTAAACGGGGCACACACTCTTTAAGCAAAAAAAAAAAAAGGAAAAAGTAGCAAGAGTATCATGGAAGCTTAGCAGAGTTTAGTTCTAGAGAAGTTTTTCCTCATCCTCCCAGGAAAAATCACCGATCCATCTAGTAAACCACGGGCCGGGATGTCAGTCGGAGCGGAATTCCACAGATGGCGGTTAATGCATAAGCGAGAAAGCCGACCCTGTGCCTGGGAGCGAGGGATGGCACAACGAGGCGCTCACTGCACACAGAGGTCAGTGTCATTCTCACGACCTGACAACCCCAGGAACAAAGCCCAGACTTTCCTTCCTTTTCTCCCTGGGCTCCTAACAAAGGCAGTGCCTGCAGAAGTGAGGCCCAGGCTAAGGGTTGCGCGGGTTCCTGCACCAAGGCAGGCGCTGCCCCAGCCCGTCTGCCACCTCGGCCATCCTGGTGAGCGATGCAGCTCCCGTGGTCGTACCTGTCTACCACATGTACAGTAATGGAGGAGGTGCTCAGCAGACCAGTGCTGAAGGACACCACTGGGCAAATAGGGCCAGACACCAGGCGCACACAGCCCCACCCTCCTACACCTATACATCCAAAGGTCATCCAGCCACCATCGCTGTCAGCCAGGAGAACATCTAATTCTCTCCCCACTCAAGGCACTGCCAACACAGCACAGAATGTGAGGCATGGGAGGCTCAGAGGTAAGAAGGGGTGGTGGCTGGGGAAGCTGGTGCAAACTGCTCTGCTCCAGGAAGCCCCAGTGGATCCGTCCCAAGTTCACTCGCCCCAAAACACACAGCAAAGACCCCGGAGCTGAGGACAAGGTGCCCCACGGAAGTGTAGCTGCAGTGGGCTCCAAGCTCAGCCCTGACAGGCTGCAGAGAAGACGTCTTCTCTACTGGTGTCCTCTCTCCCAGGGCACATCAAGGGGCCTTCCAGGTGGGCAGGGGTCCAGCTGCACATCGTGTGAGTACAGAGTGAGAAGGCAGGTACAGCTCACTGACCTGGGAACCCATCGTTGTCAAGGTCGCCCAGGCTGGCGATGCTCTCCCCAAAGTGGGCATTGTAGGCGCCATCCCCGGCCAAGGCCAGCTGCTCCTCGAGGGCTCCCTAGGAAACAGGATGGGGGAAAAAATGGAAAACAAAACAAAACCAGAACCTCCAAAACAATAAAGAAACACCAGAGATGGCAACGTCAGCGGAGCACACCCGTCAGCGGGAAGCACCCGGGCAGGATCCCAGGCACCTGAGCTTCTCTCACCGGTGGCCAGCAAGTCCCTTCCAAATGTGGGCTGAGGGCCCCAACATCCTGGGATCCCTTTAGAGGGAAGGAGGCTCCTTGCTGGCTGATGTTTCCACTGCTCCCTCATCCTGGCACCATAACCAACCAACCTTCCTACCTCCCTGTCCCCACAGTACCTGCTCAGCCTCCTTACAGCAAATTTACCCCCAAAGTTGTTTTCAAAGGCCATACACGCTTCTACATTTTCTCTCCTGTGCCTTTTGACACAAGTTTATAAAACCAGTTTGCAAGGCACATGTATTAGTAACCTTGACCGAGTCATGGTTCAGAAAATTCAATACCCAATAGTTTTTGGCCTGGGGGTCTGAATGGTGGTACAACAGCTGTGCTCATTATCACATGGGCTCAGGTGCGGATTTCCAGAGCAAACAGTAACTACACAGGGAGAGGTCAGTGGTGTATGGTGGCCCTAAAGCCATCTGAGGATAATCACTCTGCCCCCAAATTACTGACATGGGAATATCAGAGCGTTAAACAGCAGTCTGATGGTTTGAGGCACAGAATGTCTAACACTACCCCAGTATAGGGGTATCCTCGCCCATCGTACACCCACAAGCCATCCCAGGGAGTGTCTGGCTTCAGTTATAAACTGAACCTTCTTTTTCACTATAAACACAAACAACTTGTAACTTGGAAACAATAAAGATGTGATGACTTCTTAAGTAGATGAAACCCCACCCACCCCACAACACAAATGTGCATTGATTTCTGCCTTTCAGTGTGGCAGGAGGAGTCACTGATTCCATGTGTGTGCCAGGCACCCTGCGTTCACCTCCTCCTGTAACCCCACGACGACCCACCAAGGAAGACCTCATGACTCTACCACTTTACAGATGAGGAAAGTGAGCCACTAGCTTTAAGCTATTGGCCCACATCACACAGGCCACTAAGTGGCAAAGCCAAGACTCAAACACTGGTCATTCTGACGCCCAAGCCCTCATGGTTTCCACTCCTCCACCCTGCCTTCCAACCACTCATCCAACAGGATGAAGTCAGCAGAAATAAGCACAGTGTGGCCCTCAGGGTAACACAGTCCTAAGAAGCGCTGGTTGGGGGCAGGGTTGGTGTGTGGGTGTAGTGTGCCCAGAGAAGGTCTGGGGGAATTATCCAGCTACAAGATTGCATGCCCTGATTTAGACACGCTGTTGAGCCGACCACATCACTCCCTGACAAGTTAACACCGAGGCAAACATTCCGATCTCCCGCAGATGCAGCAGCCAGCAGCGACCGACGTCTGCTCTCAGCGCCATGAGGCCCCTTTTCTCTTTGCGCCAGCCCTGTCTCCCTTCCTGGAATATCAGGGATATGCAGGTGCCAAGAGTCGCTGCAACAGGGGCCGGCAAGTGCCTTCCTCACAGGTTCCAGAGCCACCTTCCCAAGGGCTCGGACGTTCCCTGGCTGCACTCCCTCTCTGGCATCTGCCCACCTACTCTGAAGGCCACACCACTGTCGCCACACCACTGTCCCTCCCAGGTGGGATAGCCAGCATTTTGGTCACTGCTTAAAAGTACACTTTTACTGATTTTTTTTTAATATAAGTATTACATGCTATTTAGATAGCAATGAAACTAAATTCTTACCCAAGCACCACCCACAGTGATCTGTTATGAACATTCCCTATGTAATTCACATATTTTTAAAAGTGGTTTGTACACACAGTTTACATCCTGCTTTTTCACTGTTTGTCTTACAAGCATTTTTTCATGTCAGCTAAAAGGATGCTGGTAAAATAATTTATTAACTCTCTTGAATATTTGAATTTGAATATACTGAAAAGACCCTAGTTTCTCACTGGTTTCCTGCCTCCACGGGGGTGCTGTTCCCGTCTTCCCGCCCCCAAGGGGCTACGGAGGGGCAGAGACATCTTTCTGACCCCATTACATCCCCTTGCAGAATAAGGGACATGAGGATTACGGCCGTGGCCACTGCACTGGCACCCACCCGGCCCCCTCACTGAACTCCGTGGTCCTGCTGCCTCACACCTCAGTCCACCTGCCCAGCTCCCAACCTGCCTAACCCCAAGAGTCTTCCCAGCCATCATATCCTCTGAGAAGGCCTCTCTCCTTCCCCAGACAGACGTGCGTGCACTCCCAGGTGAAGCATGCCAGCCTGCCAGGTTCGATCCCTGTCCTAACACTTCTTAGCTGTGTGATTTGGGGCAGGTTACTGAACATCTCTGGACCTAAGTTTTTTCACCTGAAAGATGGGGACTGTGACACCATATGACATCACACTGAAATCATTCACCAAAAGCAGGAGGAACAGTTCCTGCACACAGTAAGCTCTCAGACCACGGCCATTAAGACTTTTCTTGACTCCTGCACGTTTGCAGTCCTAACATTGCACATAACTTCCACTAATGGAACACAGGAGGGAGGTTTTTGAAGACGGGCAGTGTATTCACCTCCCTGGGGAGATGTGGTTCAGGGCATGGCCCAGAGAGGTGCCCAGTCACTACTCGCCATACAGACATCCCTCTCCCACCCCCGTGCACAGCCGCCCAGCTCCGTACTCACATTTCCTCTGTTGATGTAGACGGTGACCTGCCCCTCGTCCCTGATCTCAGAAAACATGGGGGCCCCCACAAGCAGATCAGAGAGGCCATCGGCGTTCAGGTCAACTGCACATAAGGAGGAGCCGAAGTAAGAGCCCATCTGCAACCAAGTTGAGTCGCACAAAGCGTTCAGTGTCCGCCCTCATGTGGGGGCCCTGCTCTGCCTCACCCCAGCAGCTCCCAATGCCTCAGAGGCGGTGACAACCAGGACGCTCAGGCGGACAGTGACATGCCGCATGCCCCTGGCTTCTAGCAGCAATGCGGGGCCCCCAGTCAGCGTGAGCCCCGAGCTAATTGGCCCAGAGTTCCCCTTCCTTGAGCCAGACTGTGGAAGACAAATGGGCCGTGCCCGGAGAATGAGGTTCTGTTTTGAAAAATGCAAGTTGAGGTTGCAAATCACAACCATAATAAGAGTGCCTCGTATATCAGACATTTGACAAGGCCAAGCAAGCAGGAATATAGATTTCACAGCACAAGGCAGGCATAAAAATAAATGTTATGTGGGGAAATAGATTGCCAGTCCTGAGCACAGCTAAAGATTGATCATGAGCTAAACTGGCAGAAAACGGTATAACTCATGAGACTATTTAAGGGACGAGGGCGTACAGATAGGTCATACTGGCTCTTCTTTAGTTGTAACTTAATTCAGTACCTAATGTTGCAAATCAGGGGTCTCAAACCCAAACACCAATGAGATCCAGGCAGGTGATACAACAGGGGAAAGAAGAAACAAGTAACAGTGCAAGTAAGCGTATAGCTGGCATGTGATGTGTGGCTTCAGTGTCTAAGAAACAACAGGGAGTGATGGGGGCTGTGGCAAACTGGAGTCCAAAGACCCAGCTCAAGGGGCAA